TTTATTACTAATGATCCAAAATGTGAAAATAAATATTTTCCTCATGCTGAATGCCCTGGCACATCCGCTCACCCCCCTCACCTCCACCACAGCACCTCAGTCTATCAGAAAACCTTGAGAAAATCCTGTTGTATCTAGTTTCCTTCAGAATAGACTTTGACTTAGAGCTTATTATGGAGTGCTCCATTCAATTTCCTGCTTGGCTGACTGACACAGAGTGAAATTCCATTCTTTTAATAGTGACACAATTAAAGACTTTATAGTAAGATAAGAGTTTTGAGTCTGCTGTACTCTGCAACAACAAGTCTCAAGTTTTAAATGGAACATTTCAGGCCACAGTGCTGATGAGAACAAAACTGAGGTTTGATTAGTTTGTAAGTTATTCAGTTTAAAACTAATTCACCTCGGCAGTAGAATATAAAACATGGTATTTTGAAGGAGAAATAAAGAATAATTTGAATAATGAACAAATGTCATATGCTAAAGATGAAGGTTCTGTGTTCAGTGTTTACCACACAGTTGGATTTCATCAGCCTCCATCACATCCATTGTCTTGAATCCTCCTTTTTCACCTTCACAAAAGAGATTTTTTAAAAACCTTGGGGTGAACATTTGCCTTATCTATCCAAATTAAACCCATTATATTCAAGTCCCATTATTCTACAGCACCTGCTTGTGCACACATACAAGGGCTTGAGAATCATTATCACAAGACATGAGGTCTCTTAGTGAGATAGGACCACCTCCTGTGAGTCTGTGCACATTTTGTTTACAGCAGCAGACACATATAGATTTATACGTCATCCTTCAGGACCATTAAAGGCAGAATATATTTCTCTAAATTCTTCCTGTAGCTTTCCATCCATGTCATCAAGTGCAGACTAATGCTTTTCATTAATCAGACTGTATATATATATATATATATATATATATATATATATATATATATATATATATCCATCTCCATTTCTCAGCAACATGGCCAGTAGCAGCCGTACCATCTCCTTCTGGATGTGGACAGACGAACTGATCTACTGACATCGGCTTGTTGGCTTTTCCACCTTTGCACCAAAGACTTAAAGGGATAGTTCACCCAAAAATGATATTCACTCATTATCTAATCAGCACTATGCCGATGGAGGGGTGGGTGAAGTGTTTTGAGTCCACAAAACACTTTTGGAGTCCCAGAGGTAAACAGCGTTGCAGCCAAATCCAGTACAATTGAAGTAAATAGAGACCGATTCCTCAAATGTAAAAAAAACAACAGAAAGAAAAATGCCTCCGTACTGCTGCTTTGGTGTCATGTAAGTGTCTGTAAGCAAATTTTACTTGAAATGTTGTCATTTACATCATGTTATGAGCTGACATGTCCCAAACAGAGGAGGATATCAGAGGACATTTAGGCTAAAAACATGGTGCAATTGACATTTGTCAATTGTCCAAGTGTTTTGTGGACTCAAACACTTCATCCATCCCTCCATCGGTATATTTGTAAGTAGATAATGAGTGAACATTCATTTTTAGGAGAACTATCCCTTTAAAGAGTTCAAGATAAAGCATATGAGTATCACAGACGCCCTCCTACAAACTCAACATCATCAAATATCACAGAAATGATCAATAGATTTGATCATTAGATATGAAGTTTCACACCAGCTCCAAATAATAATATTGCACATTTGATTTGGTCGAAACCTTCTATTTCGATTAAATTTCTTTTCTCATGAAAGAATCACTTTAATGAAGGAAATGTTTGATGGCTGCTCTATAAATAGATATTAGAAGAAATGAGGCTAGTTAAGAATAGACCTCATCAGATAATGTGTCATATTATCTGTGTCTGCAGTGTCTAAACACAGGCGTGTTGTGGATCACAGCAGCTTCCATTCTGGGAGACAAAGATAATAAATCACCAAAACAATGGTGTAAAGAGCTGTTTTGTCAGTTGCATTGTTTTCTTTGTTGCAACTGTGTAAATGCTTCCTTGAGGATCATAATTCTATTGAGAAACCTCAAGCTGCTGCTCTGATTGAAAGACAAGTACTTCAGTCAAGAGTGTCTCACCTCAAACTGGCAGATTGAGCTCCAAATAACAGAGAAATATTACGTTACATCGGACTTTATCCTTATTAGTTCAGTTCCCTTACAATGTTACAACTCCTTATCCTTTTTAAATCTCATTTTTTTATTGGTGTGCTTTGTCCTACTTCTGATCTTACCGTCTATTTTAATCATTTTATAATATTTTGTTTC